GCACATGTCAGGGGAAGGGGTTCGATCTGCCATCAGCTTGCTTGTAAGCAATGCCTGGAAGGGAGAGTGGTCGGCAGTGAAGGGCTGCTGTTGTTGCTGACACATGCAACCATTCCGAATTATTTGAGCTTTTATGTGGGTGCGAGTACAAGCCAGTTTAGCACGAATTGCGTACGTTGGCCTTCTCTCCACGCAATTATTTGGAAGAGTTCATCGTGGTTCCAGCGGTGCTTTTGTTTTCAGATGAACTGCCTCCTGGTTGTGCTGTCGTTTGCAGTGCTGTTGATGATATCGCCCGCTGATTGCAATACGGAGTGCGTTTGGGCCACCGGTAGACTGATATGTCATCAGAATCAGTCGCGTGTTCTCAATGCCGTTGTTGAGCTGTATGATTTGGATGGACCGAGTAAGGTCACTTTTCTAGCTGTTTAAAATCGCGACGCGTCCGGTCCGTGTGGCCAATTTTTTTTTTTTTTTTCGGATTGTTTGCGCTACCGGTTGCTTGAGTGGGGCTGATGAAGCCAGTCTAATCGATTTGGCAGAAGCTTTTTAATCCTGCCGCTAAAAAGGGCTCGCTCGATGCGGGTGGCAGAAATTCTGAACATTTGAATCTGATTAGCGCAAACTGTTTTTTTAGATTAGATGATAATTTATTGTAACCGGATTTGAGCTAGATGATAAACTGGGTTTGTGTCGAGGCGCTAATATGGAATTGATCTGAACGGCGCGAAGTGGCTGCTCTGCAACCGTAAAACGATTTGTTTTGTTCCTCTGTATGGGTGAAGAAAGTTGCCCTTTCTAGCAGTACCCTGTCTTTCGCTGCGCATTCTCATCTTTGATTAGCATTTTGCTCGTAAATCAATTGCTTTTGTTCAGGGCAAAATTTTTTTTGACCACATTGACCCGGATGACAAGATGGGCTTCACCTCTGTGGACAACAAGGATGGATATTTTAATGTGGAGGGTTGCGCAGATGACTACGACTGGATTCCAGGTATCAAAAATCGACCAGAGGTAAGCATTCTGTGTGCTTCGCTTTCAACGATCACAATCGCGACATCACGCCGGTTTTAAATACTGTTTTTATTGCTATTTGTCAGGTTTACATCCGCGTTTTTCATTTTTGCAATGTGAAGAAAGGCAGCTACAAGGTCATCTGGCCGACATTCAGGGTTTTTGCGCCCAGAACATATGATTATCATATTCGTCACCCTATTGTTTTAGACGGGTAATGGTAAGTTAAGTTTTTTCTTTCGAAGAAGTTGTGCTTTCATGCAATTAATTATCAGATTTCCGACGTAGAAATTGTTGGAGTGCAGTTACGCCAGGCTCCTAAGTTTTCTTATCCACTGCACATGCACACCAACTGTTCGCTTGAGCTATCGTTTGGGTACCCTATGTTTTTGGCTCCTAGACACCCGTGTTACTGGTGCCCGTCGTTTTTCGGCTGTCAACAGAGCGAAAACCGTACTATGTGGCCTGCTTTTGAGCAAAAATAGAGCCCTGTTCAAGTGCAGTGAATTGGGTAAAGCTGAACTGCTTACATTAACTCCAAGTTGTTTGATCACAGTTACCACTGCATATATAAAATTGTTCGCCGGGAAACTTGCAGAAACACAGTTCATACTATGGTGATGTTGCAGACCATGGGATTTGGTCAGTGATGATTCAGTGCTCCATTTTTTAATTGTCTGCCCTTTTCATTCCCACACTGCATGCGAGCTCCCTAAATGCTCATCTCATAGCTTTTAAATTGTTTCGATGAGAAAATGGAGCTATTTTTCACTTATGGAATGAGCCCTCTCTCCCCGGCGATGGTCAAAAAAAAACGGATTTTTACTACTACTACTACCAGCAACAGACCCAACATCTGGGCCTGTACAAGTGTAAGCATGTTGCTCGGTTTTATCATGGCAGACAGTTTCTTTGGCTTACTGGGAGCTTTTTAGGTTCTTTCGGTGTCCATCTGTGGCGGCGCTTCAGGAAATTCGAGCTCTTTGTCGATTATCAACCAGGGCGTTCCTCTTCTTCATGCATTTATTGTTGCTTTCATGCATTTTCAAAGTGGTAAAGCAATTGGCGTTGTGACATTAACTTATCATTGCTCAGAATTGTACTTACTGGTGCTTCACCTCTTCTGCAAATCCTTATCTTGTTATTTTTCATTTTTTTACAAATTTTCACAAGTTGTTTTTTATTTTCACATTTATTTACTTGGGGCTGTTTCTGGGATTTCCATCAGGTCAACAACTTCATATCGCTTGATTGACATGAGAAAAGAATTGAGATTTGTGAGCGGTTTATAAGGTTTGTTACTTAACAGTCAATTTTTTAATTCTTTTCTCCAAATGTTTCATCAGTTGTGATTGTTGAATGGTACTGGCGGATTGTGAGGCTGCCTTTGGTTTGAGAAAGTTTGATGTGTGCGTTTCTTGGATAAGACAGACTTTGAACTGAAAGGAATACAAGCATCATTAGCGAGAACTAGCAGAAAAAAGCAACGGCGACTGTTCATAGTACGGCAAATGGCTTATAAAAAAATTTTCTGATTTCTCCTAGCATAGATGACAATTTCCCAGCTCTTATTTTAAACACCTGTATTGGTGCGCGTGAAACTGAAGAACGGGGCAGGAAATGATGCATGCTTTACCTGTTACCGCTCATGCCTCGATAAAAAAAATTCGTTTTTCAATGCGCTCTTTGTATATTTTCTGTGCCTTTCACACATTGTGTTGAGTAATGGACGATTCTATTTTGTGAAAAGATTTTGGACTTTGTAAATTAGCTTACATATTTTGGGGGCCAGGAGCCTGCGATGTGTCTTGCTGCCAGAAAATGGCTGCGGAGCTTTTCGTTGCGAAGATAACGTCAAATTTTTAGGAATTTTCAGAAAAAAAACTACTTTTTTGGCCAATGGGCCGAGGAAATCTTTTGTGCTAAAGTAGTTTTTAAATTCTTTTTTATGGAATTTTTTTCTTGGCAAAAATAAGTTCTCAGAAGTACGAGGGAGCTGACTCATCGTTTTCTTTCTCCCGCTCCCGGCCGTCCGTCATCCGAATGGTCTTGAAGCGGTCATGTCCTGAAAACTGGTTGCATCATCTGTTCCTTCTCTCTCTCTCTCTTCATTTGCTGAGTTCCCTCCTTGCTTGGATTTTAATAGTACCTTTTTTCGAACTGTAATTGCTGGTTTGTTCACCGGTTCTCGGCACATTTGTCCTCCCTTTTTCACTAGTAAGCGTAACTCGACGCATTTTGTGTCAAGCTAGTCATCGCTGAGCAAGCATTTTGGCTGTGCTTGTACAACAGTTTTTGATTCAATTCATTGGTAAACCAGTACTATTGACCTACTTTAAGACATTGCTAACAGCAGATGCGGTCGTTTTATTTCTAGAGCAACTCACGAGTGGTAGGAAGATCGCTGTTTTCCCTCCCCCCCAAGCACATTGCTATGGCAGAAAAAAAGGGATGTTTAGCAGGCGGAAGTCTTTACCCTAGAGTTATATCTGTGAGGAGTTTTGCTAGTACAAATTCATCCACAAATTTGCACCTGCTTACTTTGTTTTGAAGAATTTTTACTTATTTTGTAGCGGACTCTGTGCATTGTAAATGTTGATTCGACTATGTAAATTATTCCTCATTTTTATGCATACTGTAAAAAAAAAAATTTTGCCATATTTGTAAGCTCGAAATGAATGTTTTTGACAAGTCCTTGTGTTGTGTTGTTTACAAAGAAGACGTTTAAGACGAGTACAGTTCTTTTTCTCACCAAGAAACTAAGCCGGCCCAGTCAGTCGGTGTGAAATATCCCATAGCAGTGATTTACTAGGACACCTCCACAAGCTAGGCACGGCTGTGCCAAGCCTCCTGTTTTCCCAGTAGTTTCAGCTAAAAGTGTTTTCCGAAATCGCTTGATTAGGATTTCTGTACATGAAAATTTGCACCATTCAGTGCAGAATCTTCACTGGGATTGGACTCCGGCGTTTTACTTCTCACTGCAAGCAGAAAACAAGTTTTCTTTTTTGCAGTGCTGCTCGTGGTGATCTCGTCCCAACGCTCACTGTTAAAGAAACTGCGGCGGTTCGGCAATCTAAAGGTTATAATGTTCATTCGTTATTGATCGTTCCGCCTTACCTTCCTTTCTGGATGTTTCGGATTCCGTTAATTTTTTTTCTTTTTTTAATTTTACAGATACTGTTGAACTGTTAAGTCTATTAAAGCTTCAGAAATCTTCATTTGCTGAAATACTCTTTTCTTTGTTGGGAAAAATACC